TTTGATTTTCAATAATCTCATTGTTGCTGATTCAGTTCTTGTGCCTCTCGCATGGGTAAGATTCTGAGGGAAACATCGAGGCCTTCCTCAATTTCGTCACCGGGAACACCTTCCACCGGTCCGGCAACTACCTCCTCGACATCGATAACCGAAACGGTGAAAGGCTCGCACCGGTTCAAGATAATGGGGTATTCGTTATCCAAAGGGATTGGAGTTGGGAAGTACATAGCGTCGGAGATATTCTCGGTGGGTGGGTACGATTGGGCGATCTATTTCTACCCTGATGGGAAGAGCGTGGAGGATAATGCTACGTATGTGTCGCTTTTCATCGCGCTTGCGAGTGAAGGGACTGATGTTAGGGCGCTTTTTGAATTGACGCTTTTGGATCAGAGTGGGAAAGAGAGGCATAAGGTTCATAGCCATTTTGAGAGGACGTTGGAGAGTGGACCGTATACCTTGAAATACCGTGGTAGCATGTGGTTAGTTTATCAGTCTTCATTGACTTCGTTTTGGATTAAAAAGTCTTTTTTGAATTTTGGTTAGTTTAAAATTTAGTTTTTTCATGTTCTGATCCCAATCTGTGTTTGAGGGTAGTGTTTGTTATGCTTCACAGCTTATTAAATTTTCAGATTTTGTTTAAACTTTGAGTGATTCATTTTCATGTTCTTGCTCTCGAATATCCAATGTTGGATACTTGGAATGATGGGGAGTGTTGCATACCTGTACTTGCCCGTGTTGTTTTTGTTCTTAAGAAAGATGAAAATTTTGTGTTATGTGTGTATATAATTATGACTCAAGTTTCTGAAGTGTTTTGAATGTTGTTTAAAATTCTGATTTTTATTGAAATTTTGGTGTCTTCCATTGAATGTATTTGTTGATTACTTGATTAATGGAAGTTGTACAGTTTGGTAAAGGCTAATTGTTCTAAATTTTGTGTTACAGGGGATACAAGAGATTTTTCAAGAGAACATCACTAGAGACATCAGATTACCTTAAAGATGACTGTCTTAGTGTTAATTGTAGCGTTGGTGTTGTGAAGTCTCACACAGAGGGCCCTAAAACATTTTCTATTGCAATATCGCCTTCTAATATTGCTCACCAGTTTGGGAAGCTACTAGAAAGTGGAAAAGGCAGTGATATGAGTTTTGAGGTGGATGGTGAGACTTTTGCGGCTCATAAATTGGTATTAGCAGCTCGATCAGCTGTTTTTAGAGCTCAGCTTTTTGGTCCTATGAAAGATCAGAATACCCGGTGTATTAAAGTTGAAGATATGGAAGCTCCGGTTTTCAAGGTTTACATGAATTTTCCGCGCTTCCTCTTTCTTCTGTTTAATTTATGTTTGCAATGCTGTTACAAAATGTGTACAGATTATTCTATTTGTCTCTCTCCTAATATAGACATTTCACTTCATTTAAGTTTGGAGTCTTTCCCTATGTTTTCCCCTTATTATCATTGTTAAGCATAGCATTGCAACCACCTGAATATGTCCAATCCTGCCTGTTTTTGGCATTAGTTGGGTGTACTTAAAATGTGTTGGCAAAAAATTGTTGTTGGTTGTTCTGATATACATATACTGTGTAGTACTCCTCTAATCAGAGGTGAACATATTTCACCGTGTCGGTTTTTCTTTCTTCATAGAAATTGACACTTTTATGTTTTGAAAAATTCCACTCTTGCCGGTTGCAACTTGCGAGTATTATTTACTGTTGGATGTTTCTGAACAGATCTGGAAGGTTCAAGCAGAACACACCAATAGAAAACACGGTACTTTGTTGAAGAATGTCTAATTTTTTTGCCAACATTTTCTGCCCACTTCACGCTTTTATGTCTCAAAATAAGTTGTTCTAGCTGGTTTATCAAATTCTTGTTTATACACTTTATTAAACCTTTGTATTTTCGACTACCCTTTGACTTTAAGCAGTTTGTACTTGTATTTTTAATGTGTTTATTTGTTGTATTATTTTGTTTACAAGCTTAATAATATGCATATGGAATGTGCAACTTGTCTGCTGTGCTATGCCATATTTTCCTATTTTGCAGGCAATGCTTCATTTCATATATTGGGATTCACTGCCTGACATGCATGAGCTTACTGGGATTAACTCTAAATGGGCAACTACCTTGATGGCTCAGCATCTGCTAGCAGCAGCTGATCGATATGGCTTAGATAGACTTAGGCTGATGTGTGAAGCAAGTCTATGTGAAGATGTTGCAATAAATACTGTAGCTACAACTTTAGCTTTGGCAGAGCAGCACCATTGTTTCCAGCTGAAAGCAGTCTGTCTGAAATTCATTGCAAGGCCTGAAAATCTTAGAGGTTTGTTTAAGTTAATTGAACTTCTATTCTGTCACAAACATACAGCAATGAAGAAAAACAAGTGCAATGTTAGGGGAGTAGTTGGGACATTAAAAGGTCTGAAGCATAGTCACATAATTCGCTGAAACTGTAGAGAACCGCGAATTAATTCGCACGAACCGGTTTGTGGTACTTTTGTGAACCGGTTCTTCATAATTCTCCAAGAATTAGGAAAAACCAGCGTACCACTGCAGTAAGCGAAAAAAACTTTTAACTAATTCACTTGAGGTCTAAGATATCTACTGTATGCACGTGCATGTCACAGTAACTTTCCAAAACAGCACCACAAGTTAATAAATTAATTAACTATTACTTGTTCACTTGTCCCGAAGCAAGTATAACGTGGAAGTTGTTGAAACAGCCATGCAATGTCCTTTATTTATACCTATACTTACTCTTAAATATTAGAACATAATTGACTTGGAACTAAAAAATATATCAGTACATTGTAATTGACAAACAATTATGTTATCTCACTCATTTTTTAGCATGTTTTATATGTAGGACTAATAAACTGTATATTCAACTATCTTTCCATCTCAAATGACTAAATTATTTTAATTATAGCGTACCAATTATTATATTTAAACGCACCACGAACCCAAATAGCGTACCGCCTATGTATACTAATTTTCTGAGTGTTGCGTACCGCGTACCCGAATTCGTACCACGTACCGAAACGAATTGCGAACCCGGTGACTATGGTCTGAAGTCAGTATATTGCTATCAATGCCAATTAAACTCATTAATGAGGATTAATAATGATTTTTCATTATTAAGGAACTTTTTTTAATGTATTTTTATATCAAAACTACAACTAATTTTCTTATGCAAAAAGTTGTGACTTTGGGGGTTTTGGTATGGTTGTAATTGTTGAGAATATAGTAAGTGTGAGTGTGAGGAAAATAGTTTCACATTGGATAGAAATGTGGTGACTCGAGCATTTATAAGTGGGAGAATCCACTCACCTATCACCTTAAGGTTTTAGGTGGACGGACAAGTGGTGTGTCTCCCACAAAGGTGTGTTGCTCAAACGGAAAGTTCAGAAAATAAGAATGCTCCTCGCTCGACTCTTCCCCAATTGTTGCGCTAACAAAGCCGTTAACTATAGGAGCTGCCCTCTGATCACGGTTGGGTCCATAAGAATGATTCCAAACTTAGACTTTTGAGAGTTCTTGTTTGCATACAAACCATTGGCAATGGTACGTTGGGACTTGGGAAGCCATTGTCGTCTAGCAGCCGCTGTGCGTCGAGGATTATGTCTGTGTGATGTCTCTCTCTCTAAATTCCGATCAGTGTCACAATCATAACCCGGTTGTGCATCCCTTTGTGATGTCCTCTGCTCCACACTCTGATCAGTGTCAATGAAATCCTGACTTTGTATCCACGTCTAAACATTCATTGGTGTCTGGGCACTGATAAGGGGTGACGCATAATCGGCAACTACATCTGCTCTATGTGCTTCAAAGTCACATGCAGCCAAAGATGCTATAGTTTCTCTTTAATATCTAAAATCTTTTAATTGGGATGCTATAGCAGATGGCTTTTACTATTCTAGTCATATCTTTGGTAGATTTATACTGGTAGAATAACAACAAAAGAATTGTTTGTACCTATTTGTTCTTCATCCAGCACTGTGATTTTCAACTGAAGTTTTTTATTTCCTTTCTTTTTTTCAGCTGTGATGCAAACTGATGGTTTCGAGTACTTGAAGGAAAGTTGCCCATCTGTTTTGACTGAGCTTTTGGAGTACGTGGCTAGATTTACCGAGCATTCGGACTTTTTATGCAAGCATAGGAACGAAGCAATACTCGATGGCAGCGATGTAAATGGAAGGCGGGTGAAGCAAAGATTATACTGTGAAAAATGACCAGGTCACCAAGAACTCTGTTCCACTCACATTAAAAAATTAGTGAGCCATGGATAGAGGGATATGATAAGCATTTATAGGATTAGTGGCAATTTTTATTTGCTGTTGCTTACTCCATGTCTAGATGTAAATGTAATGTGTTTGGTGGTGTTGCAGGTTTGTCTTGGATAGGTTTCTCACTTTCTCTAACATTGTGTTCTCTGTTGTAGTAAATTTTTTTCTGAAATGAAAATTATTGATGACTCTGACCATTTGTTGTTTGATTTTATATTTTGATTAGTGCTTTTGTATATCTACATATTACTAACTACGTGAAAGAAGCCTAGTTTTTGTGGATAACCATGTGAAGGTGTGTGGTGTGTACATTCTGCATGATTCTCTAGTCTTCAGAAATTCTGGAATCGACTTGGGAACAAGTGTATTTTTGAAACAGCTGGCCGGAGGAAGTTGGATGCTGGCTGTTGCAAATGTAAGAGCTTCTACTTCCTTCTTGAACTTTTGATTTATTTTTTCGCGTTAAGAAGTTGGATTTGCAAAGCTGTTATATGCGATAAGTCCAGTTCCTGCCTCAAGAGAACATTAGACCCTCTTACATAGTAGGATTGTCAACCCTTAGACCATTTGCGGTGACTCCTTCTCCATTCATCAATTTGCCCTCTGAATGAGAATGAGCAGGTATGGCATTCTCGGCGGGTAGATACTAATCATCTCTAGATGGCTTGTTTTTTGGAGTCTGCTTGGATCATTGTCTCAAGCTAGAGAAACGAGGCTCGTTTAATTAAGAAAGAAATAGCCACGCAGCATCTGAGCTTTCAAGATTTGAGTCTGAAATGCAAGAAAGACTGCACAAACAGACACCCTCAAGCTAGAGGAATTGCTTGCTATAGGAAGTTGAGAGAGCAATAAATTAAATTTACAGTTATAAAGAAAATTGCATCTTCCGCCCTTGAAGTTATACGTTTGTATCATTTTAAGTTTTTTCTTTACTTCTTCTTTTTCAATGGTTCTTTTGGTCTTAAAACGACACGACGTTACTTTGGTGAGGTGAAACAAGTAAATTTGAAATTGCGGTTACTTTTTGTAAAAAACAAGAATCCAAAATAAATTCTTTTAGATCTGTTTGCAATAATTTTCTGTTTTGAAAATTTCAAAAGTTACAATTAGTTTCTATTTTAAGTTTTAAATTTCTAAAATTTATTTCAGTTGTGCTATGAAAATTTCAAAATGTAAAGTCATATTAAATATGAACATTAAAATAAATATTTATCATAAATATATTTTAACCCAAATAATTCATACAATTGTTTTTGTTAAATACTTAAAATATTATAAATACATACATACTATATTAGTAGTGATTTTAAAAGTAAATGGTTAAACGTGGCAGTTGTCGACATTTGTTTGATATAATTGGCAATGATTAAATATGGGTATCAATGGTGGTCATAATAATAGTCGATAATGGTCATATTGATAGTAGACAATGATGGTAGATGCTGGTTGGTGGTGGTGACTATTTGTGGTTTTTCAGCGGTAGAAGTATCGATCATAATAGTAATTAGTGGCAATTTTTAATGGTAGGAGTGATGGTTTGTCGTGTCGCAGTTAGAGTGGTAGTGAAAAGTAACGTCAAATATTTTTAAGACTGTGCATGTGTCTATGACTTAAACTTTTGCATAGTAAATAGGGTTTTGATTTAACAAGGATGAATCATTTGTCTTTGACTAGGCTCCTAAGGAAAGCTTGAAAATGAGTTAAGGATTAAAACACTTCGACCTCTACGAACTTTGTTGTTTGAGAGATTGTGTAGTGGTATAATTGGAAAAGATTTTAGGGGCGAGGAAAAAGGTATAGGTCTGCCCTATCTTTTTATCACGTCGTCGTTTTATTGGTTTGAGCGCCCCTTCTACTGATGCGTCGTCTATACTCTAATAACTTCGTGCATAACACACGATCATGAGTAAAACGTATACTGGGTCAACAAATGATATATGAAAAATTGTGGGACTTAACTATACTTTCTAAATTTTAGGGAATCAACCACCAATTTTTAAAGTGACTGCTACATTCTAGAAAAACCTGGTTGCATACCCCTAAGATTATAAATACATCAACATTGTGATACTTAGGGATAACCTAACTACAATGCAAAATTATACATATACACTTTTTATCTCATGTGAGTAAGCTCTCAATACAACAATCACCCTAAAGCCTCTGACACCTCTTATCTATAATGTATTGTTACACATTTATATTTTTAGCAAGTACAATAGACGTCCAATGTGGGGGCTTCAGTAAATTAATTTGGGCTCACCTATCTTTTACTCACAATTACTTATACCATCTTCTCATGAGGATGTTCGAGCAAAGTTTCAAGAAGATCATTAATAATATAGTTGTGCATTTCGTTGGAAGGGGTGGTGGTGGGGAAGGGGGATAATCTAGCTCTTCTCAAAGAAGGTACACCTGACATGTGTTAACAACAAATGCCACACCCATAAAAGCTCAGTGCCTCTAATAGGGACTAGGAACCCATAAGCACCTTTTCAAGAGAAGATGTGATTGGTGTACGACCCCACTGTCATCATAATTTAATGCGCCAACAGGGATGTGAGATGAGTATTAATCAATCCTGGCAATTCGACGAACATCTTATTTAGGAGCATTTTTCAAGGGCTCCAACTGGGTCCTAACAACATTGAATCTTTCAAGGATATCTACTCAGCCTAATAAGCGAGCAGGTGTAGGTCAAGGGCCACACCACCCTTAAAACAACATTTGACTCATGGGCGGCTGCCATAATCATTGAGGTGAAGTATCATGTTCTAGATTCCACATCCCCTACATTATCATCCTAGGAAGGCTCAATCCCAACCTGTTCAACGTATTTCGATAATATGCGATAATACTAGTGCTATTAATTTAACTAAAAATTCAGTGCTACACTCTCATACTAAACATATTGAGATACGTCACCATTTCCTACGCGATCACGTTGAAAAAGGGAATGTCGTTTTTGAGCATGTTGATAGCAAAAATTAACTTGCCAATATTTTCACAAAACCTCTTGTGACTGGGCCGTTTTTCAATATTCGTCGAGAATTGGACATTCTCGATATCTCAAGAATGTGTTTTCTCTATCATTCTTTTAACCTTTATTCGAAAGTTCTATTTCATGTGAGTGCATCCCCTGTTTCTCATCCTATGAGGTGATATCATTTCACTTATCTCTTTGTTCGTAAGTTTTCATTTCTTATGTTGCTTATCTATGTCACTTATGATTTGATTGCATGTTTATATTCAAAAAGTGTGTGATATATTTGATGTATGATGTAATTCCATGACTGTTTATTTCCAAAAAAATTATTGTTAACCTATGAGTGTTTTCAATCCATATGTTTATAGTGACGTTATATTTTAATCTTTTTCATTTCATCATCATATATATTCCATGATATAAATTCTTCACATTTGAATTAATTCTGATGATATGATGCTTAGCCATATTATTTATCTCTCTTGCATGAAAGACAACATTTTTCATGCTTGCTTCATGGTTGGTTTTATTGCATTCTCGTTTAAAAATCTTGTAGTGAGTTTGTAATGAACTACTTTTGATTTTGAATGCATTGCTGGTTAGTTATGTTCATGCATTTTCACTTTAACGTCATTGTATGTGAGTGTTGTTATCGTTGATCATTTTATATTTGCAACATCTCTGAATGGTATACATGTGATTTTGTATTTCACTTGATGCTTCTTACGTTTTGTTGATTTTTCTCTTTTTGATGTTGTCGAATGGGAAGAAGTTATGCAAGAACAAAAGAATAAAGTTTGTTTCCAAATATTAAAGGTGAGATGTACATATTCAGGGGGAGATATGATCAAAGACTATAAATACGTCATACGTTTTTCCATCATAAAAAAGGGGGAGCATGTGAGTGCACTATTCTCTTAGATGTTTTGAATGATATCAAAATTAGGTAGTATTAGTATTTGTACACTGAACATTTTCTCTCTATGTCTAAGGTTGCATATTCATCTTAGGACACTCATAGAACAAGTCAAAATCATTTGGACATGTCAAAAATATTATTTTTTCATGAAAAACTATGTTAGGAGTCGACTCCCTCTGAAGAAAAATGAAAACAATTATTTGCTGCAAATGGGTCGATACACTGGCATCTAGAGTCGACACATATCACGAATGAGTCAAATCCCTCAAACTGTGGGTCGACTCCCACTGAAAGCAATTTTGAATCAAAATCACAGTCCAAGTTGAGTCGATACATATTAGGGGTGGCAAAAAATAGCAGGTTGGGTTGGGATTTTAGAATCGTTGCCCACCAAAGACCGCCCCTGCCAAAGCCCGCCCCACCAAAATCCTCTGCCCGCCAAAGCCAGCCCCACTTATTCATTCAGTCTATCCCGTTTAAGCCCACCCTTTTTTTAGTTAATACTAGTAATTTCCAATTCTTGATGGTTTTATTTTATACATCTATTTGTGAATAAATGCAATATTTTTTTAAATAAAATTTGTTAAAAAAATGCTTTATAAAAAAATTTCTAAAAAATAAGGGGAAATTTAATTGAAATGTAAAAAAAAAGTCTAATAATCTATTAAAAAATGAAAATAAATAAATTAAAAAAATAGGCAGGCAAGTCCTTCGCTCGCCAACCCGCCACCTTGGCGGGGCAGGCTAGATTTTTTTTCCATTTGAACTTGGCGGGATTGCCCGCCCTATTAGAATTAAGTGCAAACATACCCATAATGAGGCTGATTGGGGAACTGCCTAAACAAATTATTGTGTGCGTGTATCTCTCTCCCTCTCTGTCTCTCTTACTTTCATTGTAAATTGTGAATTCATTGTTTGTGCAATCAATACATTGAGATAATCTCTTTGATTAATAATATAGAAAACTGTTTTTGTTAAGTTAATTGAAATCTATAAGATTGCAATTGGTTTTGCACATCAACAAAATCAAAGAAAAATCTGACTAGAATTGATTATACGCCAAATTTTTGATAAATTGCTTAAGTAAAGTTTTTGTTTAATATTTAATTGGAAATCGATTATCATTTTGTGATTTTTTTTCAAAATTTATACCTGAAAATATATTGATTAATTCCCTCATCAATCGAATACGTTCGTTACAATTTACCCGTATATCCGATCCTTTTGATAACAGTCCGGGATAGTCGATCCATAATTTGTTTCCGCTTGCCATAGTTAAACATTTTTAAACAAGAAGTTTTTATTAGCGATCTATTCACTCCCTCTAGATCTTAGCCTATCGTTTAACAACAAGCACATAGATCCATATCCCATTCCTCCTTGCACGATGTACATGAGAATTTCTCCCAGATCTAGGAAACTAGATTATGTGACTCTGATTACCCTTATTCCTTCCTCTGTTTCAAAATGAGTCGTTGTTGTGGTTAATGATCACGCCGTCTTGGAGTTAAGGGGGTTTGGGAATGATGGGACTTCATAATTTCACCTTCTCAAAATTGCTCGTTATGGAGTTACAAAACCGTTGATTATTTATTTACTTTTATCGTTAGATTTCTAAGTAACTGAAGAGTGTCAAATATGTCTATTTTTCCGCAGTAAAACTTCGCACTTTTCAACTATATTTTGTGTTTCCGATTATTGTTTTCTCCAAGTTTTGATAGAATTTATAGTATTTAGTATTTAGTTTTGAAATCTTTGATTTGTGTGTTATTGTGCAGAAAAGTGATGGATCAAACCTAAAAGAAAAATGCACAATCAATGAAAAATAATGCATAAAGCAAAGAGGCAAAGAAGTTATTTGTCAGCTAGTTCGCCAGACGAAACCGTTTAACATTAAATATGGAATTAATTATAAACTTGTCACATATTCCAAATATTCATAAAATCATGGTATTTAGGGAATTGGATGATCTTTTCAACGCTTCTGACCGTTCATAAATCGGAGTTACG